TCATCCAGAGCGCGTGATTTTCAATATCCACGTTAGTTTCTTCTGTAAAATTTCGTCACACCCATGAAGCTTCATCGATCTAGCCACTCAAGGTATTTGGTTGCACGACATTTGTTCATGTGTATCCTCAACACCGTAATAAATTTGGCCAATAAGTGTATTTTTCTAGGATACTCTCCAACTAAAAAATTGTACAAATATTATTCTCCAACTAGCAAAAGATTTTACTCCATGGAACATATGTCTTATCCCAAATCTCGTGTTGAGGAGGAGAGCATAGATGAACATCGTTTGGGAGTTCTTTCTTGAGTCTATACCCTTTGCCCACTCAAAGTTATCAAGTTCTTCTCAAGCCATGCTTTTTCCCAAAGATAGTAAACATGACTTGTCCACACCCATGCCTATTCAATCATCAATCCAGCCCACAAATATTTTCTCTCATGCCTACTCAATCTATAGCTTCACAACTTGCTAATGAAAATTTTTAAATCTACAACATGAGGAAAAGATAGGAGCTAGAGCACGGATCACATCCATTATATGGCCAAAATATTTACTCAATTTAAAGTCCACCTAAAGAAAACATAGGTACGAATTAAGGCTGGAGATGTGCCAATTCCCAACATTAATGACTACCATGCCAATTGCATTGAGGAATGATGTTATGAGATGTATAGGTCATCCATTTAATACTTCTGTTACAATTCATAGAATTGGGGAATGGTAAAAATACCTTCTACTTATTATACAAAATTATCCCTATTTATAGATCTATACAATATGTCTTAATAAAGAAATAAATAACTTCTAATTGATACATAATTGACTCAATATAATCCTTCCTAATTCAGCTACTCAAATATAGAAGGATAATAGCGTGATCCAGGTGAGCCTCCCACGGATTCTCAACCTGACCGTGGGATCAAATGCCAAGGGATGACTGAGATTTTGACAACTTCTCTTAATGATATTCAGGTTCCTAACACAATACAAGAGGAATTACAAAATTCAGAGTGGAAGAAGGCAAAACAAGATGAGATTGATGCACTTGAGAAGAATAGAACATGGATTATTACTAATTTGCCAGCTGAGAAAAGGCGTGGGGTGCAATGGATTTTCACTCTATAGTACAAAGTAGATGGATCAATTGAGAGATTCAAAGCTCGATTGGTAGCTAGAGGATTTACACAATCCTATGGGATAAATTATCAAGAAACTTATCCTTCTGTCGCAAAGCTTAACACTACCAGAATTCTTCTCTCATTAGTTGTCAACTAAGATTGGTACTTGCAACAACTGGACATAAAAATGCATTTCTAATTAGTAACATTGAAGAGGAAGTCTACATAGTAATCACACCTAGTTTTGAAAAAAGTATGACAAAGAATCCGGTTTGTAAACTCAAGAAGTCCTTGTATGACCTTAAACAATCTCCCCAACCCTGGTTTGACATATTCACAAAGGTTGTTTCAAAGCTAGGCTACATACAGGGTCAAGCTGAACGTACTCTGTTTATCAAGAAATCTCATGTTAGAAAAATTATTATATTGATAGTCTATGTCGATGATATTATTCTATCTGGTAATGATGTGGAGGAATTATAGAATTTGAAGAAGTATTTGTTAGAAGAGTTTGAAGTTAAAGATCTTGAAAATCTTAAATATTTCCTTGGAATTGAAGTAGCTAGATCAAGAAAGGGTATTGTTGTTTCTCAAAGGAAATATGTTCTAGATCTTCTTAAGGAGATCGGTATGCTTGGATGCAAACCTATTGATACTCATATAAATAGTCAGAAGAAACTTGACACTGAGAAGAAAGTATATCTCTAGTATCAAGAACTCTCATGTTAGAAAATTTACTATATTGATTGTCTATTTCGATGATATTATATCTGGTAATGATGTGGAGGAATTATAGAATTTGAAGAAGTATTTGTTAGAAGAGTTTTAAGTTAAAAGATGATGTAGGCAAAGGGGGGTCAAATCAAATCCAAAAAAATTTGATTTTGACTTCCCTTGAGCTTGCTAGCTCATTAATGTTTGAACTAAGAGTTAGCTCATTATGAGCTATGTTTTAGATCGTTTATTAATTTATTAGTAGCTCATTATTTTGTCTCTTCTTCTTCCCCTTGTCTATTCATTTCCCGTGGATGGTTATTGGGTTCCCGTGCCTTGGCTTCTTGGTTCCCACGGTTGGCTCTTGGTTTCCCGTGCCTTGGCTCCTTGGTTTCCCCGGTTGGCTGCTGGTTTTCCGTGCTGGGTGGCCTTTCCCGTGCCTTGGTGCTTCAATTCTGTGTGGGCCTCTTAGGTTTCTGCGGCTGCCTCTTCGGGTGCCTGACTGGGCTGTTTCCCGTGGCTGTTTGGGGGCTTTTACGTGGCTTTGGTGCTTCGTTTCCTGGAGTTGACTGTTGGCTTTTCATATTCCCTATTTAAATAAGCTTAAATTAATGTTTTGGGGCTGTTTGTATTGCCCTCTCATGTCTATAAATAGTATATGTTTTGGGTTGTTTGAGTAATGTTATATGAATGATTTTTGGAAATGTAAACTTGTGGGTTTTGTTGGAAAAGCTTGCAAGCTTGTTCCATTCTTCTTCTCATCTCCTCTAGGAAAGACTTGCGAGTACTTTCCATCCTTCTTCTAGGCTTCTAACATCTTTCTTCTCTCCGCAAGTGCCACCTCATCTGTATCCTTCTTCTAATGGATGAAAGCTTCTTTAGGTGTTTGTTTTGAAGTCATAAATTTGTCAAACGTTTGTAAGCGTCAAAGTTTGTAAGAGTCCTTGTTTGTAAGTCCTTTTATAATATTAAAGTTGTGTTTTGTTTTGTCAAGTTTTTGAGTACTTTGTCTTTCTATCATCCTAGAAAGAGTTTGTTTTCGTGATAAAAAATTTGGTGCCCTCTCCCAAATTTTTGATTGCATTAAAAGATCTTGAAAATCTTAAATATTTCCTTGGAATTGAAGTAGCTAGATCAAGAAAAGGCATTGTTGTTTCTCAAATGAAATATATTCTAGATCTTCTTAAGGAGACTGGTATGCTTGAACGCAAACCTATTAATACTCATATGGATAGTCAGAAGAAACTTGGAACTGAGAAGAAAGTACATCTATAGATAGGGGGAGATATCAAAGACTTGTAGGACATCTGATCTTTCTCTCACATACTTGGGCAGATATTGATTTTGCAGTGAGTGTTTAAGTCGATTCAAGCACAATCCTACAAAAAAACACATGGAAGCAGTCTACAAGATTCTTAGATACTTGAAAATGATACTAGAGAAAGGCCTATTCTTCAAAAAGATAGAGAATAGTGACACTGAAGTGTATTCAAATGCATATTGGACAGGAAACATCATTAACAGATGGTTAACTTTTGGGAAATTTTCTTTTGTCTGGGGTAATCTTGCTACTTGGAGGAGTAAGAAGCAATCAGTGGAAGCCATGAGTAGTTCAAAAGCTGAGTACAAAGCACTAACATAAGTGAATTTGTGGAGGGATTTAGATAAAAATGATTCTTAGTGAGCTGGAACAAATGAATTCATCTCCATTCTAATGATATGTGATAATCAGGTGGATTTAAACATAACTAAGAATCCTATGCATCATGATAAGACTAAGCATGTTGAAATTGACAAACACTTCATCATAGAGAAGGTGATTAGTTAGACTGTTAAATTGAAATACATCCCTACTAAGCAACAAACTGCAGACATTCTCACCAAAGCTCTACTTAGACCTAACTTTGAAGACTTAATTTGCAAACTTGGATTATAAGATAAATATTCTTCAGGTTGAGGGGGAATGTAGAATATTTAAAAGTCAAAGTTAGAGAATTTATTTTAGGAAAGTATTTTAAGGAATAAAAGGGGAGATCGATTGTGATCTTCTTCTATGATTCTATTTCCTATTTTTTAGGAAAGAATTGTTCTCCTATGATTCTGTTTCCTAAATTTAGAAAATAAATAAGCTAGTTAGTTATTTTCTTTATTAGACACTTTTTTAGTATATGTATGTAGATGTAGTACTGATTTTTAACAAAAAGAACAATGAATTAAGAAATTCTTTACTTCATTTCATCAAAATTACAAATGACCTATAAATAATCTACATACATATACTAAGAAAGTGTCTAAGAAAGTGTTCAAATTATTTTGACTCCATAGTTCACACATAAAAAAAACAAATTATTGGAACGAAATTTATTTATAATTTTAGCTGAGTATTAAAATTCTATTCAGTATACGTTGTTAATGAGCCTGCCAAAGTATCACTTGTTCAAAAACAGATAGTTTAGATTTTGTTTAAGGTTAATGAAGGCTATTTTCCCAAACTGAATACTTAATTTATAATGCATACTGCGTTAATAAAAGTCAGGTTTTAGTTGAGATATCAACAGTCTTTAGGCATCCGTGTACATTCAAACCATTCAAAAAGCTTGCCATAAGCACAACAAAAACCAATTTCTTTTGCCATAGCAACAATACAACTGAACTTTCAACTAGCAAGCATCATGAGAACTGTTTCAAACTATAATTACACTCTTCTTCCACCTACTGTTGCAGATTAATCTAAATGGAACCAGTGCTAGATCCCAATCTCTTGATAAAAAAAATTGGATTTAATTTATTTAAATGAATCTGTATGCTTGCTTATACCTTGTGATCACTTCATAAACTTTATCAGTGGCAGGGAACATTTGGAAAATATCAAAGTGTAGTTAGATTAGTTTAGATGTCTTTTTTAACTTCAAATTAAGTAGCTTAAGCTTCTTAAGAAGTAATCAAGTTTTATCAAATGCAGATGTAGATAACTTCAAGATCATATCCATATCTATCATAATGAGATTTCTAATAACCTCATCAGTACTTAAATATATAAGAACACAGAAAATATGAAAAATCACATTATTAGAATCTAAATTCATCCTTCTCCGCCAGCATTTGCTTTCAATGATAAAGCCTTGCCACAAAAGGTAAATTGTTTGCAGGAATAAGACACATTACCTCCAACCAGAATGTCCATTTTTCATGGCTGCGTCCACTAAGTCTACATATATAGGATGGCGGTCCACCATCCATTGATTCAGAAGCTGAAAAAGTAACCACTTTATGACTGCCATAAAAATATACAGTAGCTAGTAGCCTAAGAAGTTTTGTAAAATAAGGAATAATTTACCTGGGAGCTTGTTGTCAGCAAAGGACCAATTTGACAAAGGACCAGTAATGTTAAGTACTGTAACCCAGACCTCTTTTAATGAACTGGAATAGCCAATATAGAAGGTAAATAAGTGTCAGATGTAGTGTGAATGAACATAAGTATATCTAAAAGGATGCTTAAGTGAAAAGAATAACCCCAAGTTCAAATCAAGGTGGACCCTTCGGGCTCTAGTTGTAGACAGTAAAGCAGATTCATCAATTGACAAGGACGGTAAGTAACTATATTGCTTAGAGACGTCATTTTGAGGTGCAGGAAACTTCAAGCTTCCTGAGAATAAAAATCCTAGTGGGAATATTGCCTGCAAAAGGAAGAAAGAAAATGAAACTTCCAGAATAAGGCAGCATTAATTGCAGCCAAAAGGATCTCTCCATGGGCTATCTCATATATTTAGTGTTCTTTGAAGCTTATTCAGTAACAAAAATTACTCATAGGACACCGATAATTTAGGTACCGTTTTAATTACACGTTGTCAACAAAGAGTTAGCTATCCAAATCAACTTCTTTCCTTGGGATTTAACCACATTTTTATCAACAAAAGCTGTTCCTTCAATACGCTAAAATGATAATTGTTTGACAAGGTGAGGAGACAAAATTGTATGATGTTGGATTACCAGAAATTCATCTATTCTTTACCATCTAAAGCTAACCTGGGCTAGCACCTTATTTGGATGCTCGAACTTCATTTGCTTGTATAGAGCCTCCAAAATCTATTCGAATACCATAATGATGCCATAAATGTCACAACCTCAATTCTAAATTCTCAGAAGGAATTAATAACACAGGATTGCTGGTGTTAATAACATTCAAGTATCAAGTAAAAGGCAAAAATAAAAACCAAGAGAAAGCGTAGTCTTCAGTGAGGCAGCATGCTGAGAACATTGCTAATTGATTGACAGACTACAAAATAAAAAACAATTTACACACCACCCAGGAGCTTTTTATAGAATGATGATCTGCTTTTAAGGAAAAATCTGAACCAATGTGTAACATTTTTGCAGCTTCTGGTGAATTCTTGAAAAGGAAAGTTAATGAATTGGCATCCACAACAGAAAAATCAAAGCTGGAGTCCACGATCTTACTTGCATCTGTCAATAAGAATAAAATCAGAAGGGTTTAAAATAAAGCAAATCATCTTGTGCCACTACATACCAAAGCATTATAAAGAAAACAGATATGAACAGCACAGAAAAAAAAGTGAGAGCTACACCAAGTATGGTTTTTTTTCCCCAAACATACCAAGGAAAATCATTTGACACTCCTTAAACATTGTCTCATTTGGACAAATAATATTTACTGATTTTTATCAGTTTAATTCCTTAAGCAAGTCCAGCATAACAATGTTGATGTAATCAAAAATTTGGGAGAGGGACCCAAATTTTTTATCACAAAAGAAGACTCTTTCTAGGATTTAGAAGATTACAATAACTCACAAAAATTAGACAAATTAGACAAAAACAAACTTTAATATTATAAAAGATGATTACAAGACGCTTACAACTCTGGACGCTTACAAACGATGCAATAAACACCTAAAGAAGCTTTGACTTGAGAAGAATGATATAGATCGAATGAAACTTGCAGAGAGACGAAAGAGGTTAGAAGCCCGAGAAGAAAGAGGAGAAGCTCACAAGCTTTCCTAGAGGAGAAGGAGAATGGAACAAGCTCGCAAGCTTTTTCACGAAGAAACCCGCAGGTTTAAGCTCCAAAAATAACTCACATCATCACTACTTTAATATCCCAAAACAACTTCTATATATAGGCATGAGAAGGAATACAAACAGCCCCAAAACATTAATTAAAAGCTAATTAAATGATGGAAATGAAAAGCCAACATCCACCTTATAATATTCCCAATTCTACACAGGAAACAAAGCACCAAAGCCACGGAAAAACAACCCAGGCGGAACCCGAAGAGGCAGCTGTGGGAACCAAGGGGCCAAGGCACGGGAAGTCTTCCCAGCACAGGAAACCAACAACCAATTTCGGAAATCCAAGGGATAAGGCACGGAAAACAGCCAGCCGACATAGGAACCCAAGGGACAAGCTCAGATTTTTAAGAAGAAAAGGGGAGAAGAAGGGACAAGACCACAAATAATGAGCTATCTATTTAGTTTAATAAATGAACTAAAAACATAGCTCATAATGAACTAATTTTTCAATAAATGAACTAAAAACCAGCTCATAATGAGCTAAATTTTTGTTCGAAACATTAATGAGCTAGAGAAGTCAAAAATCAATTTTTTGGGTTTGATTTGACCCCCCCCCTGCCTACATCAAATGTCATTGAAAATAAATGTCAGAATATTGCCTACTAGAAGTGCATCACCCTACAACATTAGTCATAATATTTTACGCCATTAGTCACAATATTTTAATGCAGAACATAGAAATGGGGGTATGCACATTGGAATTTGGTGCATGATGATTCTACCCAAAAATAGATAACATGAAATTGAATGAGTAATTCAGATGGGCCTATTGCTATTATGCGACAGTTTATAGATTACGAACCCTATACATTCATTATTACAATTATTGTTATGCATCCTATACATTCCTCATTACATTTATTATAGTCTTGAATAGGTGCATTGGTTTCTTATGCACACATTGAAGTTATCAGTCTTTTTTAAACTGATCATTGCCTTAGAGTTGCATATTTTTATGGGCGTCATAACTCACTAGATCATCATTCTAGTTGTTTTTGCATGAAAAGAAAAAGACAAAGTTGAGTCAGATTAGTACTAGGTTCAGTTGTTATTTTAAGTTTATTTTATCTTTGTAAGGAAGATTTGGATCAAGGTTAGTGATCCGTTACTATAAATCTTATGGTTTTTTGGTCCTAGTAGCTATGTACATGAAAAAAAAATTTGGAAATTAAATTTTTGGGACTACTACTATCTTGGCTTGAAGTTTCATGTTATATCATTTTTGAAAGGCTTCACTTGAAGAGAAAGATTTATCAAAAGGGTACTGATTTTTTTTTTTTTTTTAGAATTCTTGCATCCTATGCCGCTTGCAAGGAGTAGAGTCGGCATGGGGCGTGACACAACCTGTTGCGATTTGTTTGTCGGGAGTAAGGAGATGGGAAGAGCCGACTAGAGGGTGGCATACGAGCTAGCAGGTGATTAGCTATGCTAGCAAAGGAGAAGTGAAGAGTTAGTGTGACTTGAGGCTGTGCTAGTGAAGGAGAAGTGAGAAGTTAGTGCGACTTGAGGTTGTTGTGGAAGTAGAGAAAAGAGGGAATAGCTAAGAGTGTGGGGTTCGCCAGAGGAGAAGGGAGTGAAGCTAGAAGCAACACTTTGGGTTGGATGTCAACGAGTAGGTTGCAAACAAAGAGGGAGCATTCAAACAACTTGTGAGGGCTTTGTGAGCTAGAACAAGAAGGAGAGGCGGGGGGGGGGAGGAAGTGCACAGCTTCTGGGTTAAGGAGTTTGGAATCTTAATATTTTTATTTTTATTTTCAAGTATTGTATTTTGCTATGCTAATAAGACATTTATTAGCAAGATTTGACATGATAGGGTTAGATAAATTGATTTTATAATTCTTGTAAATTTAAATAAAATAAAATAAAAAGAATGTGATTTGGCTTGCATAATTTCTCATTCTTAATTCATACATCTCAATTTGGAGCCATTGCTTGATGTGCAGGCACATTTATCTCGTGCAGCAAACCAAGCAACATTAGTGGCATTACCCAGTAATTTCGATGTCCCAAAGTTAATGACATGAATCCGTTTTGCTAAAAAAAAATTTAGGATGATTTCGCATGTCACCTCCATAAATTGTCATTGTTGTCGTTGTTCGATCGAGTCGAGCTCAAGTGACTCTTTTGGGTAAATTCGACTTTGTGAATGTGTCTACGCAATCCGTGTCAAGAACAAATAACATTTGAGTGTTTTCACAAAACATTGCATCCCTAGACTATTGTATTCGTCACACTCAATTGACCAAGAATTTCATATGAGGTCAATAACATCCCATTCATACTTTTAATATCCAAAATTTTTTAGGCTTCTAAAGTTGTCATCTTATTTTTAGGCCCATTATCCCCTTAATCTCCTTTGATTACTAACTATATATTGAGATATGCATCCTAATATGTTGTGGTTAAACTTTGTCCCAAATTGCCTTGCAATCTTTGCATTTTTTTCCTCTATTTGTAGAAACTACTCTATTATATAGAGAGTAGTAAAACTACATTAGAAGTAAATAATCTTTTCATTTTTTGAAGTATGAATTCACTATTGCTGGAAAAGTTGCAATAAAACTTCAAGAAATATAACTCAATTAATAAAGAAAGACCAATTCTTTAAATGGAGTTGACTAAGAAGCAAGAGAAAATATTAATCCAAGGGCATAAAAACGTACTACATACGAGAATGAAAACCAGAATCGTTCGACCACTTTAAATACCTGCATGCCTAAGTGTATGCTGAAGCACAACCCTTTTTGGTGCTGCTTCGCTGTATGGAAAGAACTGGGCTGAAATAGCTAAACCCAGCACACTCAGTTGCAACAAGCATCGTAAAATTAATGGCCTGGCCAACCAACGACTGACAAGAGGCAATATAGGACCCATACACCATCCGGTGACGACACCAACAATTGCTGCCACTATAGCATCAGGCACAAAATATCCTGTAAAAGAAGGATTATACCCAATTCGGTAAAGATGAAGATCTTATTTTTGCAACTTAAACTACAATCCAGCCATGAATAATAAATATGAGAAAATATCCAAAACAATAAAGAAACGGCAGTCTCTTCTTCAAATTAAGTGATTTAAAAAAAATGCAACTTTTTTATAGGATCAAGGTATGGCCCACAGCAAGGAAATTAGGAACCAAAATTCAACACATTTTCGCTATTATCAAAGAGAGGAAAAAAAAAACTCTGTTTAGCTAAAATGCATTATAACCATGTTTTCTTGGAAATTAAAAAATCTACACAAGACAAGAAAGGTATCATAAATTTCAATCTTCTGTTAGAAATTATAAGCTGATACAGCTCTAACATCATAAAACCTCATTTTACTCAGCAATTTCTGAATAACACTTACGGAAATTTGCGGAGACTCTCTAATATCAAATTGCATAGCAGCAACCAACTACTTGATTTGATCAAATGAATAATTCTTCAAATAATCATTCATATGAAGAGTTGCATATAATACTTCATTCAGTAAAAATTTTGGCCAGAAGCAAAAGTTTAGAACACTAAAAAGACAAGTAAATGTTATATAACTTACCATATGGCGGCGGAAGAGAACCCATCATGCCCATCTTCTCAATCAAGAATTGGACAAAAAAACCTCCAAAATAGACACTATATGTAAGACATGGGATTGAAGGGATAACATACACTGCCAATGATCTGAAAAAAGTGATATTGTCAATAAAAACATAAACAGTTAAAAATTCAATACAAATATTATATATCTAAACATAAACCTCAACAGTACACTAAAAATTGAATAGACATTTTGTATATCTACTCAAGTAGCGAAAAAAAAAAAATTTAGTGTACTAAGTTTGTCAAAATTAACGTGGTACATAATTGGCAGCCATAAGCAAGATAACCCAATGAACAAAGTACAAATATCTGTTTTAGGCTCTACTGGATGAGAGAAATCAGTGAAGATTCATTTTGCTCTACAATCTAAAGCATGTTCATACATAACAGCATTTTTCAATAAGTATTTTAGCCCAGCAATCATCATATGTATTGAATAATATTTAAATCAACAAAAAATGGTTGATCATTTCATCAAAGATGGAAAACATACAGTTACAAAAAAGTTAACATGTAAACAAATGCATAGATGGAAGTACTTCAATGATTGATGTCCAAAATGCTTTCTTGTCACACGAAAAAAGAACCATGAAATAAGCATAGTTGATGACATCACAAATGTCAAGTATCCTCCTTCAAGCCCAGCTTGATGATAAACCTGTTTCAAGCAAGGAGAACAGGAAAAACATCAATTTTACTGTCATGTAACTAAGAAACTTCAAGATTATGTAAATGAAAAGGACATTCATAAGAAACTCTGAGGTGAAGTAATGCAAAACTGAATGGCAAAAATTAAACTGCTTTAGTATTATATTTATGTGCACTACAGTTGATTTTTTATCTTCCTATGATATTGTTCCATAACATTTTTAAATCAGTTTCTGTTCAAAAACATTTTCATAACACTAAAAGCGTACTAGTATAAGGTGATATCAACTTGAGTTTGAACGAACCGATCTCAATTTGAAATTATATTTTTCGATTTTGCTTCAGTCCAGTAACAAATGATTGACTTTTTAGTCGATATTTGAGCTTGTTCGAGTCAAGCCCCATCAATTTAAAATTACTTTTTGATACAATCATAATCAATAATGCTTAAAATTTGTATTATCAAGCAATGTTCCATCATAATTATCAGCCCTTTTCAAGTAAGACCAATCTTAGACAACTAAAGGCTACAACTATCATGTACATAAATATAATGGTCATTAAATTATAGAAACTATAACTGCAATGGTAATATGGATTATTTTAGATTAAATGTTAAGAGAAAGCAACCCATCTCGCTTACCAAAGTAATAAAAGCATATAGTCCAAATGCTCCCCAAAAAAATGTTTCATCTGAGAGAACCTTCAAAGTGCACAAGCAACAAAAAAAATTGTCAATTTAAGCAAATGATCACTCAAAAGTACAGCTTTTTTTAATTATGATAAATAAAATTAAAAAAAAAAAAACTCCGGATGGATAACAAATGCCTCAAAACTATCATGAATTTGATGTCTAATCAGTTGCAATTACTGTAAAATTTTAACATTTTGAGGTATTTAGCTGAAAACTTGAGATTAACAACAACATGATCTCTTAAAAGCGTTAATTTATCATCAAACCTCATTTGACAATTTCTCACTGGTGGCTTTTTGAGAGACTGGAAGTGATATCCATATAGTTCTTGGAATAAGCAAACCAATTAGAGAGCTAGGGATAAACATCAAGAATGCCAAATATGGCCGCGCAAACCTGCATTTTTCAACAGAGATGACCACATCAACAATTAAGAAATAATTTGTTATCAATAAGATGATCAGTATGATTTCCATACAAATTACAACATAACAGAATAAAATGTACCATAAAATCACAGATTCATAGAAACAAAACAGAATTCACCTTAATGCATTTGCAATATCATTAATAAAACCCAAGGTTTAGTGTCTAAAAAGTACACTCACAAGAATAAAGGTCACCGCCTATTCATCTTTCTTGGTCTGGTGCCTTAATATTGGACGCAAGCTCAAGAAAATCATGCCTTATACATCATCATCAATATCAATAACTTTAATCCAAAATTTAGGCTAGTTTTATAAAATCTCATTCTCCATTCTTTCCAGCTGTGATGCATGCAGATCATTAAGCTCCACTTCTATACATATTGTCTTTAGTCTAGCCCTCTTCCTTCCTAAACCTTCAACACTAATTTTATCTACATGTATGATGTGTGAATTTTATAGCTTTAATTTACAAGTCCAAATCCATTAAGTTTATTTCTAGTGTCTTATCTTCAATAGATGTTGCTCTTACAATCAACTTAACATAATCATTCATCAATCAAACATAACTAGTTTTGTCACAATATCCATACTAAAATTTTCATTCATGTCACTCTCAACTTGGCTAATTGTGTTTTTTTTTTTTTTACTTCTCAACAATTGGATCCATACAACATAACCGATCTAAGTGTGGTTTTAGAAGTTTGTTTAAGCTACCGTGATACTCTCTTATCTCATAATAATCTCAAGGCATATCTCAATTTTAACCACTTAGCCATCACTCTAAAAATTATATTCTCATTCATATAACAATTCTTTTATATAATAGATTCAATAACCTTACACAAATCACACCTATGTATCATTTTGGCTTCTAGCAGTATTAACTATTAAATTTTAATATCACCTACTAAAATTGTGTATCATATACTCAACATTCCTTTTATGATCATAAACCCTTTTTCTTTAAAATATTTTCTTCAATATTTTAGTTTTCCATTTATTTTAAAAAGTGTCTCACCAATAAGACCTATGTCATTTGTGAAAAGCATATCTCAAGACACTTCACTATGAAAAATCTTGTAAGCATATTTGTAGTTAATGCAAAAATATTAATGTAATCATGTTGTAATTGGAATATCATTAACTTATTCACTTAATAAATGCTTCTAAAACAAGTCAATGTTCTAGCATACATATTTTTATAGCTTAAATATACCTTTGGCGCACCTTATTTTCTTCTTAATATGCATAAGGCAGAAAGAATAATATAAAGAACATTTATTTGTTGTATATTTGAAAGTCAAAGTTAGGGAACTTATTTTAGGAAGTATTTTTAAGAATAAGAGGAGAAATCTATTGTGATTTTCTCCTATAATTACGTTTTTATTTAGGAAAGTATTTTTAGGAATAAAAGTAGAGACAAATGATGATCTTCCCCTATGATTCTGTTTCTTAATTTTAGGAAAGAATTATTCTCCTGTAATTCTATTTCCTAAAATTAGAAGTGAATTAAGCTAGTTAATTATTTTCTTTATTAGAGACTTTTTTAGTATATATATGGATATGTAGTACCACTTTTGTATAAGAAGAATAATTAAATAAGAAATTCTTCATGGTATTAGAGCTAATTCTCTCAACCCTAATCCCTTCAGGCCACCTCCCTCTGGCAGATTTGTCCTGACCATCTTCTTCTTCTATATTTCAGCAATCTTATATGTTCTTCTCCCTTATCTTCTTCTTCGCAATACAGAATGACCTCATCACAAACATTCGACATCACGACACCAAAATCAGGAAGCAGTTCAAAAATTCAAAATCTTGATGGCGGTGATTCTTCTCCTATTCTCATCACAGGACACAAATTAAATGGCCATAGTTATTTGCAATGGTCACAATCAATGTTACTATTCATTTGTGGGAAGGGAAAGGAAGAGTATCTCACAAGAGCAACAACCATGCCAGAGACTACAGATTTGAGTTTCACAAAGTGGAAGATTGAAAATAGTATGATCATGTCACAACTTATCAATTCCATGAATAATGACATAGGTGAAAATTTCTTGTTATTTAGGACCGCAAAAAAATATGGGATACAGCTAAAGAGACATATTCCAACTCTGAAAATACTTCGGAGCTATTTCAGTTTGAATCAATACTTCATCAACTTGACTTATTCGAAACTCATTCATGGACATGTCTAAAAGATGCAGTAATATACATGCTGTAATAACTCATATTTTGACCTAATGAAATAAATTTTTTCATGAGTCATTAGAAATCCAAATTACAAACTGTCTTTGTCATAACATAGATATCGTAGTACTTTAATTACACTAATTTTTCTGTAAGTTTTGGGAATTGATAAAAATCTTTAAAAAAAATTGACACCTGCTAGTACAAGTGGAGGATTTTGGGACCAGGTGTGCATTTAGCAAACCAATTTTATCAAAATTTTCTAAATATGATGGGATATTTTATGAATATTTTCCTATAATTTTTAGAGCTCTAAATTTGAAAATATAAAAGAATTTATAAAGGTTTTTTACTAAAAATTAAATAATAACATAATTACATTTATATTATATTATTACTTTATTATAAATATCTTAAAGTTTTTAAATAGAGAAATGTTAGGAGAATTAAGAAACAAAAGAGAGGTGAGAGAAAATAAAGTCAGTATTTGTAGGTCGTGAAGCAATTTTTTATAGTCGGTTCTATTGAAAATTTGCTCATCTCAAGGTAAGAAACCATTATCATATTTTTTTATTTCAAAGATTTTGTGTATTTTATATTTTCTGCATTTTAATTTGGTCAAAACTTACAAAAGTTATGATATCTAAATTTTTAACAAATTTTCAACGTATAATTTTTGGTATGTGATAGATGTCGTCAATAAGAGCATTTTGACTAATATTATTGAATTTCATCTGTTAAAATGAAAGTTATTGCATTTTGTGCGATTCCTACTGAATAGAACTAATTGGATATTTTATTTAAGCACACTGTTAATAGAAGTATTGTGAATGAAAGTGAGTATGTGATTGGGTAATAGTTTGTCGCTATTACTATTATAATAATGTGATACTAATATGTATGAAGACAAGTAAAAGTTGGTTTCACTGATGTTAGCTGGAGATTGACTGACCTGTATAGAATGATAGGCCGACAAGCTTTTGCTTTAAATATTATGATTAGGTGTTATCATGTACTGATTTACTTGATACACTAATTAGGAGATATAATGAGTTATTATTGTGCCGACAAGCAAAAAGTGCCGACTCTCTTTACTAAGCCCACAATTATTAACAACTACCTTACTATTGAAAAACACAGCCTAAATTAGGATTTCATACTTGTTTAGTATGATATGATTACTGAAATGCATGCTACTAATTTATTGTTATTGTATGACCTTATAATTATTGTACTGATTTACTATTACTACATTATTTTACTACAACTGCCACCAGCTTTGTTGATGACATTCTACTGTTACTATTACCGAATGAACACCAATATTTTTTGATACAACTGATTCACTGCACTGATACTGAGCATGTGATATACTGAGCATGTAATATGATGCATGTGCATACATTTATATGATTTTACTGCCTTAATATGATTCTGACAGTTCTTCAATACTTTCGTTTTTTCTCTTTATACAATTTTTTTACTGATTGATAGTGATGGTTGATTTATTAATTCGACACATGTACTGATTTATTAGTTTCTCCATTGTACTATTATGCTGGCTTTTGTACTGTATTGTTTTACCATTTACAGACTTTATTGCTACTTATATAAGTTTTACTGGTGTTACATTGATTCATACTCGCATAACATTACTGCTATGATTTGATTGCTAACGTGCATATTATTCATTTGTCATGCTTTGAGTTCAGTTGTAGGATTTAATTATTTGTTGAGCTTTTGAGCTCATTATACGTTGTTACATGATTTAAGGTTAAGGCAAGATAGCAGAGTTGTGAGATTGACCATGAACGTTAGAGTTCAGTTTAATATCAATTTAGATATTCTTTTGTACGCTGAACAAAATATGTGTGATATGATTATATAGATCATGAATAGTGTATATAATTTTTGAGAAAATAAATACAAATATATATATTGATATTTTGATCGATAGTTTTATTTATGTTGATATTTATATTGATAAAAGAAATTAGGTCGCTTTGGCTATTATATATTAAAAGATAAAAAAAATAATAATTCTTCTAAATTAGATTCTGGGGCATCACTCAAGCAAATTGTGGAACAAGAAAGCTTGTTCAAGTTTTCCTTGGGACTTAACCACGACTTGGATAATGCTAGAGGTCGAGTCATGGGCACCAAATCTTAGGAAGGCTTTCTCAGAGGTTAGGTGTGAAGAAAATATAAAGAAAGTGATGATGAGATCTAAAGAACAACGCACATCAATGTTAGATGCATCTTCCCTTGCTGTCCAATCATCTAACAACAATGGTGCAAATCGTTAGAAAGGGGAAGGCTTTGATGTGATTACTGTAAGAAACCAGCTCATTACAAGGAGACTTGTTGGAAGCTCTCCATGTCAAACCAGTTGATTGGAAACTAAAGACACAGTTTGATAGAGACAGCAAAGCACATGTGACTTCCAACTCTGAGAGTGCTCCTGTTCCCGAACCTAGCCCATTTAGCAAAGAACAGATGCATTTGCTGCAAAAATTGTTTAGCCAAGTTGGTAGTAGTAAGATTATTGGGACAAGTTTGGTTGCTCAAACAGATTCACATACTGCCTTCACTACTAAAAAAGAAGACATGAGACTGTGGATACTCGACATTGGTGCTTTTGATTATATGACAGAAGATGCTGCCCTTCTCCAAAATTATAAGCCAAGTAGTGGTCAATAGTCTGTATTGCTCGGTTCAAATTCTAAAATTGTTGGAATAGGTTCCATCCAACTTACTAAAGAGTTGTATCTCAAC